TTCTCCAAAATGAATATTTTAACTATACCTGTTCATTCCTTTAAACATTTATTTATTTTAAAGCCTGCTTTTAAGGAAATTAATATGCATGATAATTATAGAAGATATTTTGGGAGAGAAACCCCCTGAAGAAGAGGTAGGATGCAGCAGAACTTGAACTTAAACTTGAAATCTCCAGAAACCTCTTCCTGCCCTGCAGAAAACGGAGATTGCGTGGCGGCCGCACTGTGGGCTTCTGTTGGAGTGGTGAGTGCTGCTCTGTGCGCTTCTTCACTTGAACTTGGATCTTGTGAGGAGGTGCACATGGAGCAGTAAAGTTGTGGTATTAATTAGAAGTTTTTTATTCTTTGGTTATCTTTAGAGCCCATTTAATTAAAAATCCTTGTGATAAATTTAAATATATCCTTTCTCCTATAGATTTCTTTGGTATTTAGGTACTAATCATCAGTGCTCTATAGAGCAAACTTGGATCTCTCACTGTTTAACTACAAATTTTTTTTCTGGTGCCAACTAATTTATTTTTTTAGTTCTAGCTACTAAAATCTCTATAAACTCAAACCAATAGGAGTCTTATGAAGGTGTATTTATCCCCAGTGTGAATTGGCCTGAATAGCCATTGGCTAGATTAGCACTATACCCGCACTGCCCCTCATGTGCTGGGTGAGTGAAGAGTTACAGTGTTTCCAGTCTGAGTCCAAAGTGCCTGGTTCATGTCTCCACTGACTCACATTTGAAATGCTTGAGAAAGGCTTCATTTGCAATGGCCACTGAGATTCAGTTGTCTTCATCACCCAGTGGCTTTGTATCAGAGCACTTTTTCTCCCTTTTGGTACTAAAAAATTAAAATTAAAATGGGTCCCACACATTAAGAATAGGTGAGTTTAGTATTGGGATCATTCTTAAATTTAGACTGCTAATGAAAGGATCCTGTGAAAGTGAGTGCAAGGTGATGGACACTGTCAGCGACCGATCCTTCTCAAAGAGCACTTTCTGCAGATTTATCATTCATCACACACACTCTAGATGGAATCTTTATAAATTGTTCATTTACTGGGTTTTACCTTTGATGGTTGCTTCCACAACTGCCTGCAAAGTCTGGAAGAGCTAAGATCATCTCTGCCAGACTAGTGTCATAATGTTATAAATGAGGAAACCGAGGCCCAGATTAGCAGGGCCTCGTGGTTGGTCATCAGTTCTATTCCATTATCATTGAGTGGCTTTAAAAACAAAGCAAAGAGGACTGGAATCAGAAAGGCTTACGTTACTACCATTGGAGAAAAATCAAATGATGTTCATGTTTATTTAATTTATAATGAAGATAGGTTTATGGAGAACTATATTAAAATTTGTTACCTCCATTATAGAATAGGGGGCTATGGATAGGAAAATTAGCACTCCCTTTGACCCAACAACCTGCCCTTGTGGCATATTTGAGGAGTCACAGAGACAGCACTCTGGTCTTCCATCCTGAAAGTGGAACATGGTTAGTAGTCCAGTACCAGGCAGATGTGCATTCTGGTCTGAGTGCATCAGATTGTTGACCAATTTGATTAAATATCTCAGAATCATTTTCAGGCTTCTAATTTTCCTCTATAGATGGACTTCATTCAATTAGGAGCTAGCATGTTCTTTGGGAAATTTTACATTAGGTAATGAGTTTGTAACAAAGCTCATTTTCTTGAATTGTTTGTGACATATTCAGTGAAATTATATGAGAAACTCAGATTTTTAACTGCTTTATTTCCTAATCTGTTCTGGTGTTATTTTGTGATAGTATTCTATTCACATGGAGTGATAGAAACTACAGGTAAGTTTTGGGAGCAAATAGTACCATGAGTACCACATAAATCCCTGTTGTTATACTCCAGTTTACAGGTGGCAAACACAAGGCCTGTGGCCGAATCTGGCCCTCCACCTTGTTTTATCCAGCCCGGCATCTTGTTTCTACCCGGTGACAGTACTGAGCTCTCCCTTAACTGTTAAGGAGAAGTTACATTTATACAGTCCTAATATTATATTCGGCCCTTTGAGGGCAACCGTGAGGCTGATGTGGCCCCCGGTGAAAATGAGTTTGACACTTCTACTCTAGCGTCAAATTCATTTTCCCTGGGGGCCACATCAGCCTCACGGTTGCCTTCAAAGGGCCGAATGTAATGTTAGGACTGTATAAATGTAATTTCTCCTAAACAGTTAAGGAGTTGAAATCACATTCAGCCCTTTGAAGGCAACCCCAAGACTGATGTGGCCCCCGGTGAAAATGAGTTTGACACCCTTGGTCCGGAGGGATGCCTCCAACCCACTCACTGCAACTCATAGTTTTTGCTTTTATGAATGCCCTAATTTAGAATACAATTATAATTGAGGTCAACATATACTGTGTGCTTTTTTTTTCTATCTTAGTTTTCAATGGTATTATATGTGCAAATAACTCTATATAGTATACCTTATTACCTCTTTCTCAGGCTGTATTTATAATACAACCAAGAGTCTAAACTTTGGGGCATTGGTATCATCTCTTCCATTTATCTTCCACAAATGAAATGGGTTCGGATTGAACTGATGAAGCTTCATCTTTGCCTGTAAGACTAACCAGTCCTGACCCTGAAGGCAAGCACATCCTAAATTGGAAGTAAAGAATGACTCAGCTAAATTATAGGGTCATCATTCTGGTCCAGGTAACAATGTTTTCTAACTTTTTCTTCTGATAAGTATGGCAGTAATAGTATGACCTCTCTCTGCTATTAGATAGTGTTGCATTTCCCTAGATTAATATAGCTCCCCTCAACATAGAATGTTTTAGTAAACAACTCAGGGTAAGAGGCAATTGTAACAGTTTATACCCATCTGATAGACTATTCTAATAAAATGACTCTTTGGAGGAGTGCGCTATTTAAGGAGCAGCTCAGAAGGTTACACCATTGTGGGTTACTCTGATAACGAACAGAGCTATGCTGAAGCTTTAGAACCTGGTAGTTTTAAAAAATTTAAGTTAATATGAACTTAATTTGACATTCCACTGAGTAAGTTTGAGACATCTGATAAATGTTGCTTACTTACAAAATGGAACTCAAAGAGGTGGTCAGGAAAAGATTGTCCTAGTCTTAAACAAGCTCCTGAAGAAGCCTAAGAAAATTATTTAGCTCCTTAAAATGGGATTCAGACATCCTGAATTTAACGTGTTCTAAAAACAAAGTGTATGATTCGTGAAATAAAGGACACGGAACTGACTGAAATTTTGAAATTATGAAAAATTTAGGCCAAAGAGGAGGTAAAATAAAAACAGCTGTTGTAAATAAAATGGCTATAGGAATTTCGTTACAAGTACTTCACAGAAACACTTCTTCACTTTTACATAATGCAGCATTACAGTGCAAAGCAAGCTGTGGTCCTGGTTAAGCAAGTTCTCTTACCATCTGACAAAAATAGGTGGGAGATACTTCTTTGCATGGTATTGTCACATATGTTTCCATTTTTACTACAAAACATAGAAAAAACATTGGCACATTATGAGTGATAAGTAATTTTTTTCTGTGTACTAATTCCAAGTGTTCTGCATTCCATTTTTTGTTTGAAAGAAGTAATGACTGATTCAATTAATCCAGTCTCTGTTTATACCTCCTAAAAATGCAGCATGGAGTACAGAGAATTTGAAAGAAAAATGAAGATATTTTGTTTACTTAGTTTCTAATATTTATAATACATAGAGTAGGGTTGGCCAGTAAAAGAGAAGGGAAAATTTCAAGTCTGACTTCATGTAGATCACAGAAACTTGTGAAAAGAGCCGTATAAAAATATGCACTTGTGCTTTAGAAGCTTTTAGCATACAGTTAATAATATTTACTGTTTTCCCACGTGTCTATATTCTGATATATTTACACATCCTGCATTTTTTACATCATTAAAGGAAAATGGCATGATCACAAATATAGATAGGTGGAAAACATCTGAATCTTGAAACTTCCCCTATCCCCTCCCCAAATACATACATGTAGATGGTACATGGTACAGCATTCTCCAGAAAATGTAGATTGATTCCATAAAAACTTTAAACAGCAAATGTATACAAATTTTTTCTTTTTTTAAAAAAGCTTGTCCAAGGGCATTCAGATTTAATGGCTTTTATATAATACTCACTCACTGTAGTGTTTTGTGACTGCCTCTGTTAACCAGAAATAAGGGAATCTCATGGAGTTCCCTGAAACAAAATGTCACTCCCTTCCCCATCGTGGATGGCTTTCTGTTCAGATGAATGCCTTCTATAGGAAAGAGGGCTACACGGGCTGCCGAGACCAGTCTAGAGAAGGCACACACCAGGCCATGGCTAACTTGGGTGTCACAACATCAATCAGAAGAACCCCGTAACTGTGGAGGCTGTGAAGCTAACCAATGTGTCAATAATTTGGTCCTTGTTGTTTTGCTCATTTTATAGTTTTAGTTTTGGGGTTTTTTTTTTTAGATATTCGTAGGAGTTCTTCAGACTGATACTCTTGAAGAAAATAATGATGCTAAACAGTGGTGGTGACTTTTGTGGTAACATTTGCGCTGAATACTGGCTAAGCTACTTGGTCATCATCGTCCAGGGAGGTGGGCTCAGTCAGAGACACTAGGTCTCTGCTGCTTGTGTCCTGCTAGGTGTAGTCTTTCAGCTCCGTGGCTGACGAGGACACACAGGCTCACAGCACAGCAAAAGATTTTGCCATGTGTTTGTTCTGTCACTGTGATTATATAAAGAACATATTTTTCTTCATGGAATATAACTTTCTAAAAATGAAATTTGAGGATTTACATGATTCAAGGTCAGATATCAAACATTAGCTCCTTGACCTACACTTGTCCTTTACACTACTGTGAGTCACCGTGTCCTTTGTGGGTAAGGGGGTCCCCTCCTGTGTCCTGGTTCAGTTGTCGGATGGGAGCCTCAGACTCTTGCACTTCAGGTCATCTAATGTCTTCCAGTGCTTGTAGTTATTGGCCAGGTGTTGCATCAGGGCTGGCAGGTGTGCAAAGGCTGCAGGGACACAAAAGAATCAAAAGAAGCCTGTTAAATTAGATCCCAGAGGCACTTAGAAGACTGGGGCTCTGGGGGACAAATTTGGGGTCAGAACTGGAGAAGAAGTACCCGAGGTTGGGCCTCAGGGCACAGGGGAGCACACAGCAGAAGGATAGTCACTAAACACTGGTTTTTGAAATACAAACAGGGGTCCTTTTACTTAAAAATTGATAAGCCATTACCAAAAGAATCTGATTCAGTATAGACTTTTAATACATTTTGTGTTCTTTCTAAAGTTTCCTCCAGTGACAGAATGAAAGTGCTGTAAGCTTTGGAAGAGGTCCTTTGAAGAGGTAAAGGCTTGTTTATCAATTTACCAAACATCCATTGAGTCCTTTGTGCACAAGATTCACGCCAGGTGCTGGGAACACAAAAAGTGCATGTGCACCCCACCAGACCAGGGCACAAACAGTCTGTGTATTGTTAAAGGTAATCGTAAAGGATAACAATATTCTGTGTGGTGGACAAAACAGAATGTATCTTACCGTCCCACGCATCAAACATGTCTGTTATGAAGTAGTCAATGAAGGAAATTTGTGACTTGGGGATGCTACAGGTATTCCGGTCAAACACTGGCATCACCACAGGTAGTCCCTGTCTCTTCTCTTCATCAGTCTGTAAGACATAACACTCACAGGGCTGTAGGGCCACAAGGAACTGCAACAGTACACTCTGGTTTCTCAGAACCAGCCTGTGGAAATGGGTCAGCGTCCACTTGTATATATGAAGAAATAGGCTCAGCGTGGTTCTGGGACTTAATGTAAGCCAACCACCTGGTGAGACACAGTAACTCAATTCAGGGCTTCCGACTCTCACGTCCCTTAAGCTCTACCATAGCCTCTCCCAAAGGGTCCATCTCAGGGTTCACGCCCTCTTTTTTGAGATCTGTTTTCATTATTGCGAGGTCAAAATACTGATAATACTGTTAATACTGTTTAAAGTAATACTGATAATACTGTTATTAAAGTAATACTGATAATACTGTTATTAATACTAACAATACTAATGCACATAACACGAATTGACAGAAACCGTCATGAATAAAACTGACACCTTAGCATGAATCAAAGAACTGGCACCAAACTGTACCACTAGTCATTGTACTGTTAACAGTCACATGCCTGCAGTTGAAAAAGAAAGCCTCTCATACGAACACTGTCATGGAAGCAGTAAGATTACTGATCTTATTAAAGCTGGACCTTGGCGTGTCCGCCTCTTTACTGTTCTGTGACACAGCGAGGTGGGCACAGAGCCCTGGTGCTGCTTCCCAACAGCACTGCTGGTTTCGGGGAAAAGCACATTTGCCAGTCGGCTGAACTTGCCGTTTTTTTCCATAGGACAGTGTTTTTACTCAAAAGAATGACTGACAAACTACGTATCAGATTTGGGTACTGGTCATGCAGTTTGTGCAAAGTATGGGTAAATGAGTATTTTGTACACTGGAGTGAATATTTATTTGCACAAGGTTGTCATTCACTGAGCTGAATATTAAGATCCACATTTCCTGATGGTGTGTTGAGCCAGAGGCCAGCTGATCAGAGGCCTCATTTGTTTGTAATTTTTGATTTTTAGGTTACATTGGCTGTTAACAATAGTACACTTTGTGGGGGCGGGGTGGTCATCTGAACAGGGAACTTGCATTAGAGAACTTTGAAGTGGTTCTTTCCCATTCATGTACTTTGAGAATAACTAGGAGTAGGATTTCAAGTCCTTTCTGTGGGTCCTGGGAAGCCCATTAACAGCCTCCTATCAGGCTTTTGGCTCAGCTTTCTCATTACAGGTCAGTTGATTAGGCAGCCTTAAAATACCTACTGTTGTTCAAGGAGTAGTTGGGTATTTTTGTTTTCTTTTCTGGCAAGCCCAGAATTGCCTGTCCTACTTTTCTTCAATTCAGGGGCTCTCTTCCCAGCCCTGGAAGCTGCAGTTAACATACTGGATCCTCCACTGGCCACTCCCCTGCCTGCCCTTTTGGACCTCATCAGCTATTAATAGCTGAGGTACTTTCCTCAGAGGTACATTCCAGCCATGTAGACCCCCCCAATGCATTACTTGTAGGCACTGCTCATGTGTTTGTCTATCTGCTGCACATACACACATCAGTCCTTAGAGCCTCTCTTCTGGGAGTAGGCCTGTATTTTAAATGGCATCTTGCAGTCTGTTCTTTCTGGATTTTTCTCCTTTAATTCTTTGTACTGCCAAACTGAACAACAGCAGATATTACTGCTCTCCTTATATAAAAATTACATTTTCCTTCTTACTCCTGTTGTTCATAATGCTTTGTTCCCTCAGAAAGCCTTTTCTTATTTCCACATTTCTAACCCCTGCTGCAGCCCCCTCCCCCCCCCAAAAAAACCCCTCCAACATCATACCCACAAAGCCCCTCTTTTATCTAGGGGGAAAAATCTTTCTGAACTCTCACAGCAGTTAACATACTTAAAATACACCTCCTTTAGAGAGATATATATATATTTTTTACTAATGTGTGGATTTAACTATTTCTACATCTTTCTACTATATTGTGAGCTGCCACGGTTTCTGTCTGTTTCCCATAATGTGCCATGGGGATAATAGCCCAGTGAACGAATGGGTGATTTTCCCGGTTTTTGTAGGAGTTCAGGAACTAAGAATTTGAGGATGAAAAGATACAGGTTAAGTTTATTCCTCATCCCCTAGAGAGACTTTGGTTACTGACCAGCCACATCAGTCTCTTGAGGGAGCCAGAGGTCTTCTCGTCCAGGTAGGTGTGAGCCATTTCCTTCCAGGGAGGACTCATGTACCAGCTGATCATGAGAATCCTCAGAGTTCTATGACATGGAGCCATTGCCAGAAGAAAAGTAAAGGTCCCCTAGGGAGGCCACGCACCTGTGCAAAGTACTCCTCAGAGATCCGCCCTGCCCATTCGATGCACAGGTCCAGGGGGCGGCATGGGTTGGCCACGTCAGCACACTTAATCATCATGCGCTTGATCAGGATTTGGTTTTCAGGTAAGTTCTTCCCAGTAGGGTTGCATTCACAGTCACTGCCCTCGGTCTGGAAAACATTGTCAGATGAGAGTTAGTTCAAGATGATGGTGAAGCCTAGGAAGGCTAACTGACCAGACAGTTGGTGTTGATCACTTGGGCATGCTGAGACATGCCTGTGACTCGGGACAGCAGGTTTCCCATCATTAATTCCATAATGCCCTGATATATTCTCGTTAAAAAAAAAAAACCTTAGCCCTGGCTGGTGTAGCTCAGTGGATTGAGTGCGGGGCCTCTGAAGCAAAGGATTGCGGTTCGGTTCCCAGTCAGGGCACATGCCTGGGTTGCAGGCCAGTTCCCAGCAGGGGACTCACGAGAGGCAACCATACATTGCTATTTCTCTCTCTCCTTTTCTTCCCCTCTAAAGATAAATAAATAAAATCTAAAAACAAAAAAAACCCAAGCCCCTCAAACAATCCCAAAACCAAAAACTCAGAGTTTAAAAGGTCGAAGTTCCTATCACTACCCATCTACTTCCTCACTTCCATCCTCCGCCCAGAGCGGACTGTTGTAAGCAGTTTAGACAGTTTTGTTCTGTGTTTAGTAATCTGGTATGTGACCTTAAAGAAGTGGAGCTTTTCTCCAGATTTATTAGGAAATGTATAAAAGCAGAAATTTGTTTTTTAATACATTGAAAATGGGGAAAGAACACTAATGTGACCTTCCAATGATTCCTTCATTAATTTCTTTTTATACCTACCAGCTCCCTCTCTTTCATGACCTGTCTCATTCTTACTCATCCACCACCTCCTACTTCATTTCTTTCTCTTAAGGTACATGTGCACTCATGCTCTCCTGGCTGCTGCTAGGGAGTGTGAACCATATAAGCTTTGGGGGTTCTAGGGGTAGAAGGTAGGCCCAGGCAGGAACCAGTGTGTTCAGCATGGTTAAGAAGACTGGCCATTCACTAGTACAAACCTAGTGATGTATGTCAGTGGTTCCGAGCCAAGTGGCCAGGTCCCCGAGGAGGCTTATGTGCATGCAACACACACTGGTTATACGAACTCTGGAAGACTGATTTCTACCCTCTCTCCTCAAAGACACCACTGAATTGACTGTGTGAGAACAGTTAATTAGCTCTGCCAAACTGAAAGACTGCATGATATTTAAGGGTTTTTTGTCTGTTTTGTTTTGAGGCTGGACATACTTAGTAGACCATCAATGGGCAGAATTATGTTCTGATGGTGGTGGTTTTGGTTACTTATCATTGGGAAGAGAGTGCTTACAATAGTCACTGCGGTAAGTAGTAAATCTCAATGCAGAGTTCAGAGCTTACTTGGATAGATGAACTTCCCAACTCTAAATTCTATGATTCTCTAATTTTTCCCTTCTAAACCCCAGTTGCTCCCGTGAGTCCTCTGTGGAAGGAGAGGGCCCTGGCATGGGGCATGGGATTCCTGGCGGGTGGAGCAGAACACAGGTGAGGTGGACACTTCCCCTGCATCCGTGTCCCTGCTGGTCATGGGATGGGTCCTGAACAGATGGTCTTCTTACTGATTGTCAAGTTACTTTTAAGATGGACATCTATCCACACAGGCAGCCTCTCCTGCTCAAGGGGAATGAGCAAAAGCTCTTCCAACTTTACAGGCTATGAACAGCTTCATGGTTTCAGAGAGCAGTTTTATTTTATTTCTTTTAGTATATTTTATTGATTATGCTATTACAGTTTTCCCCCTTTATCTCCCCTCTGCTCTGCAACCCCCAACCCTCTGGCATCCCTCTCTTAGTTCATATCCATGGGTCGTACACATAAGTTCTTAGACTTCTCCATTTCCTGTACCATTCCCAACCTCCCCCTATTTTGTACCTACCAATTATGCTTCTTGTTCCCTGTATCTTTCCTCCCTATTCTTCCCCTCCCACTCCCCACTGAAAAACCTCGCTGTGCTGTCCATTTCTCTGGTTCTGTTTCTTTCTAGTTGTTTGCTTAGGTTTTGGTTTTTTTTAGGTTCAATTGTTGATAGTTTTGAGTTTGTTGTCATTTTACTGTTCATAGTTTTTGATCTTCTTTCTCTTAGAGAAGTCCCTTTAACCTTTCATATAATAAGGGCTTGGTGATGATGAATTCCTTTAACTTGACCTTATCTAGGAAGCATTTTATCTGCCCTTCCATTCTAAATGATAGCTTTGCTGGATAAAGTAATCTTGGTTGTAGGTCCTTGCCTTTCATGACTTGGAATACTTCTTTCCAGCCCCTTCTTGCCAGTAAGGTTTCTTTTGAAAAATCAACTGACAGCCTTAAGGACACTCCTTTGTAGGTAACTGTCTCCTTT